TTTTAATTGGGTTTATTAATAAATCGCATGGTTTAAGTTATAAAAATTGACCGCCATTACTTTTGGTGGGGACTGTACTACTTACATTTCTATGGATACACAAAAAATGATACTCAATATTTTGTCAGACCGATGGATCAACCCAAAAAGAAAGCTATTCTGAAAGTTGATTCGTAAAGGTTATAAATATGCTGATAGACTTTCGGATTATTTAAAAGATATTGGGACTATGTATGTTAGCAAATTCGAATTGAACCCTTTAGTAGACTTCTACCATTCAGCTTTAATTCCATCTTTATCTATTTTAGTGAGTAAAGCGGATATTCATAAAAACTTTTCTATTAGTGTAGAATCTGCTATTATAGGAGAAATGAGTTTATTTACCCTGAAAAAAAATAAACAATCCTCACTTCAGAATCTAATCCAGATGAATTATTCCAGTGATAACTTATTCACACTAATAGGATTAACTTGGAAGCAAGAAGAGATGAAAACTTGGAGAAATGATACGCTCATGAAATTCCTCTATCACCCGGATTTAGCCTCTTCAAAGCACAAACCAGGTGCTTTATACGATACATTCACTAAGACGAATGTTTTAGGGCCAGGACATATACTAGCTCTAACACGAATGTTTTATTAAAATGTTATTAGATACAGATGAATTTATTTATAGCCTTGAAATGGCGGTTCTATGACTATATTTTTTCGCTTATTATATATACCTGCAAAATTCAATTTTTTTTATTATTACATGCAAAAAATAAATACAAATATTCAGGACTTAGCCTGTGATACATGATGTCTATGCTAATACATATAATTACTCCTATTTTTCAAAATACTCTTGAACCCGTTGCCTTTTCATTGCCAGTTCATTTTCTATGCTCACCCTATCCTTCAATAAATCAACAATAATCTTCATTACCTGCTTCATATTCTTGTACAACTCTTTCTCTTCTTCTGAATTCTATTTCAAGGCTGACTCTGTAAAACGGATATTAAGAGGGTTTTTACTTGTATAGGATATTCCATCCGAGATAAAAAAATGAAATACCATTCTGTGGCTATTGTGACAATCCCATAGATATAGTTGTAATCATCTCCAAATACTTCGCCCGACTTTCGTTTTCTCATATTTTATTCATCTGTAACGCGCTTTCACATTGAATCAAATTCTGAGCGAAACTCATAACTACTTGATGTAGCTTCCCTTCCATGATGCAAATAAGTTCCTCAAGGGCTTTGATTGCATAATCAACTCGACCAGTATTTTCTTTGCCGACAACTTCGAGTTGGAGTGCCAAGGTGAGCTCTTTTTTAATTATTCTTTTAATAATATATAGCAAGGCGTGAAGGATGGCCAAAATATATTCATAATGCATGACTTCATTGCTATCAGCAAGCATAGTCCTCATATTTTCCAGCCTGTGCTTTATTTCTTTTATACATTGTACTAATTCTTCTTCATCATTTTTAAGTTTATAAGTCACCTAGAAAATTGAGAGGAGTAAGCGGGTCCCAAAAAGATCGCGTCTGCGTATTACTTACTAGTGGAAACACAAGTTTTATTGCAGGTCTACCAGGAAAATTATACAGTGGCGCTAAAAGCTCTTCTTTGGTTAACTCAAGAAAGGCCTGGCCGTCAACCTTTTACTTGCAAAGTATTTCCAAATCATCGTTGTCAAGCTTGAGATTCCGCTCTTTCAAATAATCGATAAGGGTCTCTGTATTCTAGTTCTCAACCAAGTAAGAGTCATATTTAGCTGTTGAGGTAGACATAGTGCTTTTATATGGTTATTAGGCTCAGATAAAAAATAGTGTTACGTTTCGAAGTGAGATAAAAATTTATTTCTATTCGGGAAAGAAAATACTGAGCGTTAATATAGGGTTTTATATCGCACAAGCGCATTATCACACGTGACCCATTTCTCATGTACCGATAAAATAATAATACTTTATTTACAAAATAAAAAACGTTACTAGAACTGGCTTACAATACATAAATTAGCCGTTAAGGCGCTTCGCATGACTCACTATTACATAATACAGAAAATTATTTGAGGTATATAGTGATATGGAAACCAAATCATCCAGATCTATTTGCTTTTCAATAATGTCCTCATGTTGAATTTGACAAATTTTTAGAGGGATTTCATCAAATGGTTCCCCAATCTCTTTTTAATTTCAGCTTCAATTTCGCTAAATTCACTATATATATAAATTGTAATTGATTGTATTACTTTAGTACATAAAATATTTGAGAATTTTCCTATAGAAATGATAAGACAATTGAGAGTAATTTTTTCTAAGTCCATTTCTATTCCTAAATATAAGACACATTGTGAGAAAACTCACTCCAATACATACATAATTTCTACCATATACATACCTTATTTTACGTTATTTTCTCTGGGAATGTTTTTTGCGGAAAGTTAGCTGAACTTCCACATACCCCTATATGCTTTATATCTTATTGGGAAAAAGTTAAGGAGGTATGAGGCGTAATTAGTATTGTCGTCGGTTCCCTAAGGGATCATGAAAGCACATGTAAACAGAATCCTCATACTTTTTCACATGTAGATCTACCAGATAAACGTAAAGGTAGTTAGTTCTTGTAGATCTTAAAATTACAAAGTCCTCAGCCCTTTATAGCATATGCTTTTGACGTTAATATTTACTTTTACAGTAGGTCCTGTGTTGCAACTAGACCTCCTTTCACATTTTCTCATATTTGTTTAGGAAAAAAATAGAGATATTGGTTAGTATATATAATAATATGTCATACGAGACCTGACTGATCCACATTTCTTGTCGCACAATCTGTGGCTCAGCAAATTCTTCAGAGCTAGTGATCACTGCTCCGGACTACCTTCACTCAGGTTAGTTATCCAATGTATACCTCTCAATAAGTATTGTATCCCATTCAGATTAGCAATACCAGACTGACTAATATAATTTTTAAACCCAGTTATAATACCAGTCACTGATTTTTTTTTCGTCTGAATAAGCATTTTTACTAATTCACGATAATAATCATTTTTGCAATACATCTCATATTTTCTCGTGTTAATCCACTATAGAATTCACTTCTAAAATGATCTTTACAGAGTTTGACGATATCATTACATTTTTTCGTCTTTAAACAGTAATCCACTATTGATTCTTCACCTTGAATAAGCAATCTACATCGGGGTTTCTTAATACCCTCTGGCTATATTTCCATCGAAGTTTATGCAGATAATATGGCAATTCTATTAGACTCAAAATATGTGGAAGATAGAAAGCATCGGAATATATAAATACATGGAATAATGATGATGGATTTCTTACATTGGGCAGACTATGTACAAATTGCTTAAGCGCTTTCTTTTTCTAATGCTTAACTGCCTTTGTCCCCCAGTAGGTTTTGATTGTGCAAAAAAGGTCGTCCCAGTATCTCCACTCATCGGGATTCCCTTTATTACCCCATTTATATCTCGATTCATATTCTTTAAATTTATTGTAGCCTTCATCTGTCTCATCATCTGACATTTTGCTAGTAGATTGATTAAATATTTTCAATCAGAAAAATAGGTTAATCATTGCTTGTTTCTGTCGCACATGAGTACATGTATTGTGGCTCAACAAAAAATCTTTCGATCTGAAATGCTTCACATGATCTGGTCCTAAAGGCTCTGGGTTGATATAATAACCGAGCACCACTCTGAAGCGATAGTCTAGCTAGAATACAGCGTTCACTCAATCTTCTTGATAATTCGTCATTAATATAATTATCTAAAGATGCATCATGTGGTATCCTCAGATGCCTTGCGAGTTCATGGATCACATCTAAGACTCTATTATTTGGGAGAGGTACCCGAATCGATACGAAATTCTCGATATGAATATTTGGATTAAGAGAAACGAGCTGATCTATGGCTTCTTTGCTAATATTACTACACCCTTCCAAATTGAGATACTTTAAATTAAGACACGAACCAGCAATTTCTTTGATAGTTATATCGGTAATTCGACAAAATCTAAGACTAAGATGCTGGAGCTTTGGACAGAAACGAATAATATTACAAATTGATGATTCAAGAAACTCTGTGCAGTATGAAATGTTTAGATATTCTAATTTATGACATGACTGTGCGATTTTCCATAGATCTAGATCATATACTTCTTGAGTACAAAAGCTCCTAAAGCCACCTGACTGATTATCACACAGATTGAGATACTTCAGATTTAGGTATGAACCCGTTATCAGTTCTAATACTCTATTACTAAATCCTATGCTATTTATGAAACTCAAGTGAGTTATATTTGGGCATGAATATACAATGCTTATGATTTTTTTATCTGAAAGTGAATGGTAGTATGATATTTCGAGATGAG